GCCAGATTCAGAAAACAACAGAGCAAGATCCAATAAGCTTCTCAAGCAGTATATCCACAGGGAGAACTCAGTGGCACCCTGGTTCTGAAGCAAGTTCTGCTTCTGTGATCAGGACCTGCCTAGCAGCTTGCGAACTGTGTTGGGGGTTGAGCCTCATAGTCAGCCAGCTTGCGCTTGATCCCATGCATGAAGAAGCCAATAGCAACAAAGACTCAATTACAATAGGAGGACCCACTTAATGCCCACAAGGGACACTCCTAGAGCACCCAGCTCAGAGGATCAGGGAGCTGTGCCACTGGTCCCGCAGGACACCTAATGTGTAAGTCCACCCAACCAAGACTGGAAGTCATAGCAGATCTATCTCATACACAGAAACACAAAGAGACAGCCAAAATGGGGGAGACAAAAACAAACAAACAAACAAAAAAACAGGCCCCAAGTGAAAGAATAAGAGAATTCTCCAGAGGAAGAACTAAATGAAATGGAGGCAACCAATTTATCAGATTTAGAGTTCAAAGTAATGATCATAAGGAGGCTCAACAGCATGAAAAAGAACATAGAAACCATTAAAAATGACCTGTGAGAAATGAAGAATGCAATATCTGAAATAAAGAACATACTGGAAGGAAAAAAATAGAAGGTCAGATGAAACAGAAGATCAAATGAGCAATCTGGAACACAAGGTAGAAAAACAACCCATTTACAATTGCTTCAAAAAGAAAAAAGTACCTAGGAATAAATTTAACCAAGGATGTAAAAGACCTGTACTTGGAAAATTATAACACACTGAAGGAACTACTGAAGAAGATACAAATAAGTGGGAACATATAGCATGTTCATGGATAGGAAGAATTAACATTAATAAAATGTCCATACTGCCCAAAGCAATCTATAGGTTCAATGCAATTCCTATAAAGATACCAATGGCATATTTCACAGAACTAGAACAAATACTCAAAAAAATTTATATGGAACTATAAAAGACCATGAGCAGCCACAGCAATCTTGAGAAGAAAAATGTTGAAGGAATTACACTACCTGATACCAAACTATACTACAAGGCCATAGTAATCAAACAGCATGGTACTGGCATAAATAGACATGTAGATCAACAGAACAGAATGGAGTCCAGAAATAAATCCACGCCTTTATAGTCAATATTTGACAAAGGATTGCAAAAACTACAGTGAGCTAAAGAGAGTCTGAATAAATGGTGTTGGGAAAATTGGACAGATACGTGCAAAAAAGTGAAACTACACCACCTTCCTACACCACACAGAATAGACTCAAACTGGATTAAAGACTTAAATGTTAGACTAGAAAACATAAAAACCCTAGAAGAAAATATAGGCAGTAAAATCTCAGACAATGCCCGTAGTAATATTTTTTTCTGATATATCTCCTCGGGCAAGGGAAACAAAGGCAAAAATAAACAAATGAGACTACATCAAACTGATTTTTTTAAAAGACCAAACTACCTACTGTGGAGAATGGATCAGTGTCTCCTAGTTTCAGTTAGTGTCTCCTGCTTTGCCTGGAAAACCACCCAGCCTTACAGGCCGAGTTCAAACAGAAGTCCTCCCTGTTCCACTTTGTGATAGCAATTACCACTTCTATATGGAATTATAAAGTGATTGTTGATGATATAATTATTTTTCCTTGTATTGCCAGCATCACCTCTAGTATTAGACACAGATAAGCATTCAAAATTGTTTGGCTAAAAAATTAATAAGAAAAAAATAAGTAAGTGAATCTTTAGTCCACTATTGTTTAAGGTCTACATCAAGATTCCAGGATTTGGGGACAATATGGGTTTTGTCTCACTCCAAGGTTTTTTTGTTTGTTTTAGTTAAAGGCATTTTTAAAAAGATACTGATTTGAGACAGAGAAACAACCGACTTGTTGTTCCACTTATTTCTGCATTCATTGGTTAATTCTTGTATGTGCCCAGGCCCGGATGAACCCGCAACCTTGGCATATGAGGTTAATCAACTGAGCTACCCGTCCAGATCTCAACTCCTAGCTTTTTGTTGTTGTTGTTGTTTTTAAATTGGTTTGAGAGAGAGAGGTGGGGAGAGGGAGAGAGAGAGAGAAACATTTATGATGAGAGAGAATCATTGATCAGCTGCCTCCTACTGGGGATGGAGCCGCAACTAGGCAGGTGCCGGACCCTGAATCCAACCGTGACCTCAAGGTTCATGGTTTGACCGAGCCGCACCAGCTGGGCTCAACTCCTAGGTTGTTAAAAGCGAAAAACGCGCCACACCCTCCAAAAAGCTAAAGCCCCTATTTTGTTTAAAGCCGTGATCTTTTATTAATTCCCCCGAGGTGGTGGGGAAAGTTGGGGATTAGCCTTAAAAAGAAAAAAGGTTGGTATCTGTCTCACCAAAAGAGCTGCACAGACAACCAGGTCTGTTAGTTTCTTGAAGAGAGAAATTCGTGCGCAGTACGAGCCAGCGTTGCAGACCGAACTTTTTTCTTTTTAATGCTCACATCACAGATCCTGCTGCTCCTCGGAACAGGCTAAAGGCCTGGAAGTTTTGAAAGAAAAAAACTTTCTTCAACTTCCATTTTCTAGTGTGAGTGAGAGAAGGCAACCCTCCACTACAGAAATCGTGCTGGGCTCCCCTGCCAGCAGCATTTCTCCCCGGTGGCCGCGGATAAGAGGAAGCCACTGATTCGCGGCCGGCGCGTTCCGGCCCAGGGGCGGCTTTCAGCTCGAGACCTGCTGGAAATGACTACAGGAGCACTTCCGGCTTCCGACCTGCTCAAGATGGCGACATGGGCACTTCCGGCTCTTCCCGGAGGAGGCCCGCCCCCGCGTGCGTATTTACACCGCGTCTAGGGCGGGACTTAGAGAAAGTTTTTGATTGGTCAGCTGGACTGGTGACCTTTCCCCTCCGCGACAGCTTCCCAGGGGCGCCTAAAGCCTGAGCGCTTAGATCCTGAGCAGCACGGACGCGGGTTACAGGGAGGCAAGATGGCGGACGTGCTGGATCTTCACGAGGCCGGCGGCGAGGATTTCGCCATGGATGAGGATGGGGACGGTGAGGACAGTGGAGGCGGCTGCGGGAAGCGGGGAAGGTGCGAGAGAAGGACGTAATGGGGCAACCCTCCCCCTTCCTCCCGGCGGGGAGGCGGGAGCGGGGCCACGGGCTGCAGGGCCTGCAGACCCCGCCCCCGGTGGCGGCGTGGGGCGGGGCTAGGAGGGACTGGAGGTGGTGGGGTCCGCGCTCAGAATGTCTGGGGGAAGAGACTGTTGTTCTACATGTTACCTTTGGCACTTATTCTTTCACTTGTGGGGTTACAGAGAGCATCCACAAACTGAAAGAAAAAGCGAAGAAGCGGAAGGGCCGCGGCTTTGGCTCCGGTGAGTGTGAAGAAAATGGGGTCCTGGGGGACAGTGGGAAAGGGGGCCCTCCGGTGATCTCGGGTGTGTTCCCTAGAAGAGGGCTCTCGAGCGCGGATGCGGGAGGATTACGACAGCGTGGAGCAGGATGGCGACGAGCCGGGGCCGCAGCGCTGTGAGTAGCGGACCTGTGGGCGGCGTGTCTGCGGGGAACTGGGGGACGTGAAGGCAAACCCGCGGGAAAGGGCCGAGGTCTGCAGTCGCGCTCACCCTGCTGCCGGGATCTTCAAGCCTTTCTCCCTGCGCTCCCCGCCCTCCCTTCCCCGCAGCTGTCGAAGGCTGGATTCTCTTTGTCACCGGGGTCCACGAGGAAGCCACGGAGGAAGACATCCATGACAAATTCGCAGAGTATGGGGAAATTAAAAACATCCACCTCAACCTGGACAGGCGCACGGGGTACCTGAAGGTACTGAGTTACACTCCTTGCCTCCCCCCATCACCCTTAGCAGGGGCAGATCTCCCGCGGTCGCGCTGGTCGGCCAGGAGCAAAGTTGAAATCAAATGACATTGGAAATGGAGTTTGTTAGACGCAGCAGAGACAGGAGCCGAGGAACCTGTGGGGTATACAGCAGGGATGTGTGATGCACGTTGTTTAAAGTTGGTGGGACAGGGTTTTGATGGCCGTCTTTCGCTTGCACTAGGGGTATACTCTCGTTGAGTATGAAACATACAAGGAGGCCCAGGCGGCGATGGAGGGACTCAACGGCCAGGATCTGATGGGACAGCCGATCAGCGTGGACTGGTGTTTTGTTCGGGGTCCACCCAAGGGCAAGAGGAGGTGAGGTGGAGGGGGCAGACACTACCTTGGTGAAGGGAATATGAGCGAAACAGAGAAAGGACATTGCAGGTCCCTCTGATGGACCTCCCCCACCATCACCCCCAACAACATCCTTCCTTTCCCTTTTCCTAGGGGTGGCCGGCGGCGCAGCAGGAGTCCAGACAGGAGGCGACGCTGACAGGTCCTCTGCTGGCCAGGTGTTCCCTGCAGCGATTCCATGTGACCGTGCAGCCTTGGAGAAGTAGGGCCCCGGTGGAACTTGCTGTTTATATTTAATCCTTTACCCTCTTGCTTGGTGTTTTGGAACTTGGGGGGGTGGGGGGTTGAGTTATAAATAAATGTCCCATTTTTGTTTTCTACATTTAAAATTATTTTCTTGCTCTAACCTTGCAAGCTCTGAAGTGCTCTTTACCGTAGGCAGTGTGGGACACTGTGAAGGTACTTCTCCCAGTAACTGAATTCAGTGAGTTTCTACACGAGACATAGTCTCAGTCTCAAAGAGTCAAAGTAGAAACACTGCTCAAGGTATTTCATTTTCTTGGGAGCTAAGAGAGCAGGGGTAGAAGTGAGATGTTTTCAGGATATTAACGGATAATTATTCTGTTTCTATATACTCTGTCCTGAGCAAATGGATGTTACAGGGATGTTTACTTTTTGTTTCTCCTGCCTGTACTGCCACATTTGTTTGTACCTGCAGCTATTGAAGGGCTTAAATCTCCTTTGGGGCATTCTCCCAGGTTCTCTTTCCCTAAAGGAGTCTATACAAAGTTCTTGGTGCCCACTTTGGCAGCCAAGGGTGAAGGCCCCTTGGAGATGATCCAGCGGAGCACTCATGAGGCCAAAGAGAAGAGGAGGAGGCTGGGAGGAACTCCAGTTAGCGACGTGGGAGAGAACCAGCGAGTAGGGAGGTGTCCTGCAGAGGACAGAGGTCAGCAAAGTCAGCAGGTGCACAAACACGGGGTGATTGTCTAAGGAGCGGCGGAGGGCCAATTCACTGGTAGGTTTGGGATTTAGAAAACACACTGCCATTCAGAACCACTCAGCTCCGGACCTGAGTATAGGGTGAATTGATGGGTGGGCAGTGAGATGGCGCTCTCCCCTACAAGGAAGAGAATGCTCCACACGCTCTTCTTCGAAACTTGGGACTGTGTGCTCCTTTCCCCCATGGATTATGACAGACATGCTGGAGAAAAGTTTTGGTGTGTTTTTTTTTTCTTTCCTATTTTTATTCATTTCAGAGAGAAAGGGAGTGGGAGAGTGAGAGAAACATCATTGATCAGCTGCCTTCTACACACCCCCTACTGAGGATAGAGGCTGCCACCCAGGCATGTGCCCTGACCGGGAATTGAACTGTGACCTGGTTCATAGGTCGACACGCAACCACTGAGCCACACCGGTGGGCAAGGTTTGCTTGAGATGCTGTGCTATATGAAGCTACTAAGTCTACTTTAAGACATCATGGTGTCCCAAGAGTAAAGGAGAATACTGATCACGTTTCTTCTTAATCCTTGTCCATCTAACTCAAGTTCAGATGATGGCTAGAGGTTGGTTAGAATTGGAGGCATTCAAGAAAATTATATGCAGCATCAGGTACTAGAAATACAGTTAGAATCTCACTTTTGGCTTGATAAGTAGCTATCAGGTAAATGAGGCCAGAGGCAGTTGTTTGAGGGAATGGATGAGAGCCTGGGGATTGAAGTCTCACCTTCCTTGTCGGGGAACTAGACACACTGAAGACAGTGCGGCGATAGCAGATGGTCATGGCAGTCGGTGGCACAGAATGGGCAGCAGAAGAAGAGGTTATAGGTACTCCCTTGCCATTGAGCCTTGAAGCTGCCTTTGGTAACACAGAGTGAAGGCCTGGGCCAGCTTGGCGGATGGTATGGAATAGCAACAGCTGGAGTGGGGTTGAGGACCATTAGAACTGGTCCCCTTCCACCTCCCCCAACCTGCCCACCATTGTCACACTTGAATCTATGCAGAACACTACAGTGCTGAGTTGATGGTTCATCCATGGTGCCAATATTTAAAAGGTTAGAAATGTATCTTGAAAATCCCTGTGTCCCCTTAGTCCAGTGATGGCGAACCTATGACACGCGTGTCAGAGGTGACAAGCGAACTCATTTGTTTGGTTGATTTTTCTTTGTTAAATGGCATTTAAATATATAAAATAAATATCAAAAATATACATCTTTGTTTTACTATGGTTGCAAAGATCAACAAGTTTCTATATGTGACCCGGCACCAGAGTTAAGTTAGGGTTTTTCAAAATGCTGACCCGCCGAGCTCAAAAGGTTCGCCATCACTGTCTTAGGCTATGGAGCTAACCATTAAGTTTGTTAAATCCTGAGACTTAAAGAATCCTGTCTCTCTTTTTTTTTAATTACTATGCTAAATATTGCACTTTATAAAAGGATCTCTCTACCACCTCACCAACATTTTTAGCTGAAATGATTTTCCTGATGTGTCTGATTAATTCTGTGGGAAAAAAGCTTGTGTAAAATGGGTGTTGCTAAAATTTCAGGCCATTGTGCAACCACTCTGAAGTGACCTTTAGTAATAGACTTTTGTACAGTAACTATAATAGTGAAACAATGTTAAATAATAAAATTTAACATTTTCCAAATGCTCTTGGCTGCCCTTCCCCCTTTTTGGTAAATTGCTGAGTTTTTTGTTTGAATCAGTAAAGAGTATTTTTCAGGTTTGAGCTTCAAGTAAGTTAGTACCTTGGTTCAGGTAAGGTAGATTTGAGTCACACTATTCGTTTGGTAAAAGGCAAGCTTTGTAGGTATCAGATTCCTAAATACGAGGCATTTGGAAAAGTGATTTCAGCAGGTGGAGGGGCTTTTAGGAAAGGTAGATGGTATCAGCCGTAGACATACAATGGCAAGAACTGCTTGGACATTGACTAACGCTGAGCTAGTCGGACATTGGTCTCTCCTCTTGCCCCATCTTGAGTCCATATAATTCTGGGGGTTTGGAGTTCTGGGGTGTTTTTCTTTGCACTATGCCTAGAAATACATGACACTGTGAGAAGGGGCTGAAAAAAAGGTCAGGCTCCTGGACTTTCATTTGATCCATAGCCTTACTTCTGCCCCCCTCTTCTTACTTTATATGCAGTTTACCTAAAACCTTCCTTTTAACTACTGATACTTGGGAACTTTAGGTTACAGACTAATTTCTAACTACCCCCATAGTCCATCACACTAACACCACATTTTTTTTTTTAAGTGGTGTTTTCCCCCCCCCTGGCTGGGTAGCTCAGTTGGTTAGAGTGTCATCCCAATACGCACACCAGGGTTGCGGGTTCAATCACCAATCAGGGCACCTGCAGGAGTCAACCAATGAATGCATAAATAAGTGGAACAACAAAATTGATGTTTCCTCTCTTCTCAAATCAATAATAAAAAATTGGTTTTAAACATATTTTTAACACTGATATTTTAAATACAACATACAGAATATGTTGTGCAGAGTTACACAAGAGGAGACTATTTCGGAACCAAAAATATCTCACTTTTTGCACATGCATCATGTTACCACCAGTTTGCCATTGAAGCAAATGGAGATTGCAACTATTAATCAGGTCAGGCTGTAAGAAATTACGAAATTCATCTTGTGGCCCATGGGTTTCAAATGATTTAGCCAAAGTCATACAGCTAGTAGTGGTAGAGCCTAGACTTGGGAAGAAAAGCAAAACGAAACAAGCAAACAGTGCAACAAAAACAGGCTTCTAACCCCCAAGTCCACACCTAAAATTTACTTCATATGAACAAACCCAACTGTAATTCCTTTTACACGGAGGCAACAAGTTCTTTCTAAATCTTGGGTTTAAGAAGGTCCTACTGCCCTGACCGGTTTGGCTCAGTGGATGGAGCGTCAGCCTGCGGACTGAAAGGTCCCGGGTTTGATTCCAGTCAAGGGCATGTACCTTGGTTGCGGGCACATCCCCAGTGGGGGTTGTGCAGGAGGCAGCTGATCGATGTTTCTAACTCTATCCCTCTCCCTTCCTCTCTGTAAAAAATT